TCTATGAGGTTAATTTTGGCACAATTTTGAGTGGAATCTGTTCGTCCATTTTGGAAAATCAAAGTAGGTTCGTTTTCTACTCCGTGATAACATCTAAATCATATATTTACTTGTCAAAATTCATACTCAGGTGAATGAAAAATTGAAGTTCAAAATGGATCAATTGGAAGACATTTATGTGTTGAAGAGAAAACTATTAAAGTGCGTTTGATTGACTTTATTTCATGAAAAATGTCATTTTTTCACCCAAATTCTTACTTTTAGGATGTTTGATTGACAATTATTTTCATGAAAAATATTTTCAAACTTTTGGTCAAGTGACCATATTTTTCTCAAAAAACAAGAAAAAATATTCTCTTTATGGAGATATATTTTTTATTTTTCAGATAATTCACTCTATTTCATCTATTCACTAATAAAAAATAGACAAATATAATATTTTTTAGGTTGTAAACTAAACCAATCAAAAACATTTAATTAATAATTTGCATACAAATAAGTTTTAGACAATTGAATTGCCTAGAATTTATTTTTTTATTCAAATTTTATGCTCCCAATCAAACGTGCCCTTATAGTTCATCGAACAGTGGAAAATTAACAAGGAAAATACCTGTTTATATATGACTATATTTATGTAAGGTGTAATTATGTGTAGTATAGATGGTCTACCCATATAAACGAGCAGTGGGGTACAAATTACAGATTGAATTTAACACTTTGGACCTTAAACTTGTGTATGCGAACAACCTGTGTATATGAATATCGGACCGAATGGACCAAAAATGGCCCTTTTGAAGGATCCACATCACTCACAACCACAAACTGCAAATTTTTGCACTTTTTGTTTCTAACATGAACTCGGTTCATTGGATTAGAAGTTGAAGTGCTCAAACTCTATCGATTTTTTCATTGTATTTTGGGAGACAAATGCTTTAACGAAATCTCAAGTATCTACGGTGATGGGATGAATCTATTTTAAGGATACTATTTTTACACAAGCCTCGATTTGCTAGTTTCTTCCCTTTTGTAGTTCTAAATAATTTCCTATGATGCTCTTTCTCAGTATATATATGATATTTTATTGTGCAATTTTTATATGACGCGTTTTTGGTTTAGTTAAGATCAGATTTTAAGTAAATTTTAATAAAAGTTTATGAAATGAGTGATTAAAAAGTTAATAAAAATTGTGGATCTCATTAAATGTGTAATTGAAATAAGTTTGAAAAAAATGAATTTTAGAAAATGAGGACTAAATAAGAGCTAAATTACCCACCATTTATTTCTATCTATTTATCACATGTCAACAAAATTAGAGATAAGTAGTCTGCATTTCAAAAATAACTCATATATTATTGTTGAAAGAAGTAATTTTTATTACTTATAACTATGAAAAAGATAAGACGTATAAACATGTTTGAAAACAAAATTTAACTTAAAAGTAGACTTGACGTCAGGTAGGTCGGTCAACAATTTCAATACCTGAAATCACCCATTAAATTTCGGGTATTTCATAAATGGAACCATTCAAGTTCTTGTAATTATTGGAACCAAATCCGAACGTTAGTTCCGGTTCGGTTCGGTTCAATTCTACCCATACTTTTTTATAATATACATTTAATATATAGACTCTTTCGATAAGTATACCTAGCACGCTACTACTCAACAATATTTGAGCAAAGAAGAAAATTAGCTAAGAAATCCAACTACACGACTCAAATTAGTAAAGATTAAAAATCACAAAAGA